GTAACATTTCCTTTTCTCTCCTTTCATGCAAACGGTTTATTTGTTGCTAGCCAGGTTTGTTTTTGTACAGCCTTTCTTGGTCAGGTATTTCAAATGACTGCCAGGTTCTTCCTGCCGCTGTGGCAATGATGAATGCAGAACATGAGATAAATTAATGCTGGGGATTTTGGTCAATGTCAGCCCTTTCTTCACCGTGTCAAGTTAAACAAACAAGATCAAGGCAAAGGAAAATGGTAATTGTCTCTCTCGAGATGAGCTGCAGATAAGAGCACTGTTGAATCTAAATGTGGAAATTTTCCCTGGTTGTGTCCAGCATTTTTTTAAAAAAACATAGTAGCATGTATTCACCATCTCAAACATAGTAGCTTAAGTTACACAACTAAATGTATTTTTAGAGGGATTGGGGGGGGGAACACACAGCCCTTCCTTGTGGTTTAAATCACTCTAAGGCTTTTTAAAAGTCCCCCCCCCCAACTGATAGTAAACCCCCTCTTTAGTATTATAAAGGTCTACAGTTGGGATTTAATTTTATGTGTTTTTATGGGTTTCTTCTTTAACATGGGTAGCCTTATTTATTTATATTTTTTAGAATTACTTTGCCGCTTTAAGAATCCCAGATTTGAGTCCAGTAGCACCTTAGAGCCTCCACAAGATTTTCGGGTTATCAGCTTTTGAGAGACAAAGCTCCTTTTGTCAGATTCTTGCAAACCTCTCCTCGTCAGATACTTGCAGCAGTCTAGGAAACATTCATACTCCATCCTTGACACTGAACAAGATATGCTGGGAGAGTCCCCTTGCAGGACTGTGCTAATTCAAAACGTATGAGCTGAAGATCGCTTCTTTGAAAGTGTTCTTGTATCGAAATTTTCCTGCTGTGTCCAGGCTTCTAGCTCAGGCCCTGACAGATTTTCTTTGGCTGTAGGAGCCAGCCCAAGAACTGAGGAGCCAGACATGTTTTTCACTTTTCAGAGTTTTGTATCTGAATTACCATGTGTTCTAATGATTGCTGCCACAAAACCCAATCCTGACTTCTTCACAGTTCCTCATAATGTTATTAAAGTGATAACAAAAGTGTTGTCTATAAATAAATATGGGGATAGCCCTGGTTGTCATGGCTACAATAAAGAGCAAACCCCTAAGCTTAGCCTAACTTCTCCACTGTTTCTGGTAATTCTATTATCACTTTAAAATTCCATTTAATTGAATATTGGAGGCAATATAAAAAGCAGCTGGTTAAGAAATGAATCGAATGGTGTAAAATTTAAGAACTTCTTGCATTTATATTTTTATGCGTACAACAAAACAGTCTGATGTGCAGTGATAAACTTTGTACACAGTGAGAGACACTACGAGAAAATAATTGCTAAAAATATTAGGCACCAAAGTTATATTTCTAGATGCCATCGCACCTGGCACCTAGGATTTGTAAAGCCCTGCTCTAGCTGATGTATTAGCTTTCCGTGTGCAGGAGTATGCACTTTTTGACTGGAAGCATGCAACTAAGTAAGAGTTCATTAAATAAATCTAGTGAAGCTATTTAACTGGTCCTATAGATAGTATAGGGCCACAGTGGCTCAGAGGTTAAGACACTGAAGCTGCAGACCGGAAGGTCTGTAGCTCAGCAGTTCAAGACCCAAGTGCCGCATGACAGAGTGAGCTCCTGTCTCTGGCCCCAGCTCCTGCCAACCTAGCAGTTCGAAAGCAAGAAATTGCAAGTAGATAAATAGGTACCGCTTTGGTGGGAAGGTAACAGCATTCCGTGTGCCTTGGGATCATTTAGTCATGCCGGCCACTTGATCACGGTAACGTCTTTGGGCAGCGCTGGCTCTTCGGCTTGGAAACGGAGATGAGCACCGCCCCCTAGAGTCAGATTCAGCTGGCTTTTGAGAAAGGGAAACCTTTACCTTTACCTATAGATAGTATGTTATGTAACTGTACATTCCATGAACAATGCTTTCCAGTAATAAACAAATCAACCCACTGTGAGTCCAGCCCCATACAAGTTCAGTTTAACCTTTGATTTTGTAGGATCTTAACCTGATCTCTGATGTAATTTGTAGTTTGGTACATTTTAATCATGTTAATTGGATTGTTATAATTTATGTCCTTGTGTTCTGGTTGCTGCATCGTTAGCTGCCTTGAGGCCAAGGAGAGTAAGGTGGGATAGAAATATTTTAAGCAAATAAATATACTCCGTAAAAGTACTTTGTTTTACTGATGTCGCTTTTTAAAAACATTGCCGGTATTTGCATGCATTAAGGGCCATTAATTTTTTTTTACTAAGATGCACTGCTTAACGGAGGAATTTTTTTATCAAGGGCAAAATAAGCAGGATTTATCCATCCTTTTTTTACATTTTCAAATGAAATTGGCAAAATTGCCTGTCATTTCTTTAATTCCCTAAGTAAATGTGTCTGAAAATATAATCCAACATAACGAGAGGGTAGCAGTGCATGCGACTAGTGTATTGAATGACAGAACTGCTTCCAGAGTCTCTCCGATTCTTGGCCTCTCTAGCTTGGCTGGGCATACTATAATTCTCAAACTATGCTTGCATATGTGTAAGTTTTAAGAGCTGCAATCATGTGTGAATTGTATGATGCCCTGAGCATCAGTGATATATCGCTGATACATCTTACACTCTTGTATTGCTAATTTTTAAAGAAACATTCTGCATCTGTTGGTCTTCATCTAGCCTTCCAGGTGGAGCATATGCACTTCGTTAAATGTCCTGGCCTATCACAAATAGCCAGAAGGTTTCAAATAAATACTTGACAGTGGTTTTTCAGGCAATCCAAGGAGTTAACATAAAAGTCAGAAATAATCAAATAAATATATATATATCCTGGAGGAATTCTTGATTGTGCACAAAGAGAGAAAGAAGCTAAATTCATAGCTAAATGTAATGTTTTGCAAATTGTTCACTCATCTCTGCTTTGGCCCCTGAGAAAGAAGTCAGAGTAGTACAATGAACATATGGCTTGCAGCGTTTGCTGTCATAAAGATATTGCATGAGCAAAAACCTAGCATAAAAGATATTTAGGCCAGGAGAATTTAAGTTTTCATATTCTCATGCAGGCTTCTGCCTTTTTCTTACTAGAGAAGTAATGCATGAACTAACCGCAGCTTGCTAGTGCCAAACTGTACAAGTAAATGGTAATAGTAAAGATATTAGTGATAGAGATCTAATACACAGTTTATTTCGTAAACATGATAGTAGTATAATAATAACAGCATTTCTTTAGGGTTTTCAGTGTTCCAAGCATTTCATTTATGTGTTGTGTTGTAATCCTTACAGCAGCCCCATAAGATAGGTCAAAACTATCCTTGTAGTGTGACTTTGTCTATGGCAGAGGTGAGATTTCAGCCTCCCAGATCACAGCTCATTCTCTTGGTCTTTTTAGAACTTAAGAGAAGCCATGTTAGATCAGGCCAATGGCTTGTCCAGTCCAACACTCTGTGTCACCCATTGGCCAAAACCCAGGTGCCATCAGGAGGTCCACCAGCAGGGCCAGAACTCTAGAAGCCCTCCCACTGTTGCCCCCCTAAGCACCAAGAATACAGACCATCACTACCCCAGACATAGTGTTCCATCTATACCTTGCGGATATTGGCCACTGATGGACCTCTGCTTCATATGTTTCTCCAGTCCCCTCTTGAAGTTATCTGTGTTTATAGATACCACCACTTCCTGTGGCCAGGAGTTCCGCATGTTAATTACTTTTTGGGTGAAGAAGTACTTTTATCTGTTCTAAGCCTACTGCTCATTAATTTCATTGGGTGCCCATGAGTTCTTGTACTGTGAGAAAGGGAGAAAAGTACTTCTTTCTCCACCTTCTCTATCCCATGTGTAATTTTGTAAACCTCTGTCATGTCACCCCACAGTTGTCGTTTCTCCAAGCTAAAGAACCCTAAACTCTTTAAACTTTCTTCACAGAGAAAGTGTACCACCCCCTTAATCATTTTAATTGCTTTTTCTGCACTTTTTCCAATGCTATAGTATGTTTTTTTGTGGTGCAATGACCAGAACTGTACACAGTATTCAGAATGAGGCAGCACCTTTGCTCCCAGCGTTTCTATTTTCTTATGGATATGTGCAGGGATGATTTCCTATTAGCTGAATTACAACCACAAAAAGGAGGAATTTAGTGTCCTTTTCCATCATAGGCTGCTGAGCGTCCCTAGGCTTGACTTGAAATGTTTCTTTGGTGGTTAAGTACAACCTCACTAGATTCTTTAAAGACAAACATTCCTGTACAGTTGCCTGGGGTGGGAGGAAATCAGAGGTGATATTAATGTTTCCTCAATCTTGTTTCTTTAGCTCATGAATGCTATTCAGAAAGGATATGTCTCTGGCAGCCGACTTGCTGTACTTATGAAAACGGCTGAAGAGAACATTCATCAGCGTAATGTGATTTCAGTGGATCGGAGTGGCGGTGGACTGTGAGATTTGGGTGCTGCAGAATGGTGGATACCATGAAGCTCCCTCTGTCGATGCTGAAAAACATTCCACTGCTTTCAGATATTTCTCTTCCTCTACACAATTTGTCTGTCATTGAGCAATTATTAAGAAAAAATGCCTTGGTACAGGTCCCATCCCCCCCCCTTTAAGTTTCCTGTGACCGTATTGCTGCGCTCACATGTGCCCTACTGAAATAGGGTGTACACTTCTGTTTTCTTGTTGGGCAAAAATTTGTAATACAGCAAGGAAAAAGATGTAGTGAATTTTCAAATGGGTGCTTATTTTCCAGGTTAATCCAAGCAGATCTTCACTGCCTTGTGGCTGCATTCTGAAGCCACATCAGGAGATCTAGGTGGAGACCTGGAATGAATGTGGGTTCATTTGCTTTGCAAAAATTGCTTTTTGCTGTTCGCACAAGAGCAACAGTGATGTCTAATCTTTATACAGCTTCAAGCTGGCCCCCACTGTTCTTGTAGTATCTTGCCCCTTTTCAGAAGGAGAAGATGCCGGCATGCCTCTAGTGTCTTATACGCAGCCATATTTGTTAAATCTCTGGATCTCCCCCCACATTTTTCTCAAAGAAATACATGGCATGAAACATATTGCCTAAAACTTTGGGGTTAGCGGCATTATTCATTATTACAAGGCTCTTATGGAAAAAACATGCATGTCATAAGAAGGGAAATGATTTGTCACTGGGGAGTTATAATAATGCTCAAATCTAGGGTTTATTGATGAGCACCATCCAAAATACAGGTGAGTGCACTGCTAAGGAATCACAGTGACATTTAATTGTGTTTGGGTGAGAGGACATACTGGTCATAATTCAGTTAAATTGAAACATGGTTAAGTCTTATTGAAATCGGTAGGATTTAGCTGCACATTTAGGTGATTATGTCCTGCTCAGCAGTTATGATTTACAGAAGGATTTCCAAAAAGCACACTAAGAGAATGCAAGGCTTGAAGCACATAAAGAATCCATGCTCTACCATGGGGAAAAAGCTAACAAGAAGGCTGGAAGTTCAATCCCTGTTTTTTTTTTCCTGAGTAACAAGTGCTAAAGTTTAGTTGTGCATGTAATTGTGTGTTCCTATTCCTATGCCATTTCTGTAGAGGTTGTAACAAATGCTTATGTACTGATTGATTGTTTTGTACATCTTGCGCAAGCTAAGTAAAATGGAAAACTATTATAGTGTCCCACTCTGGGGGGTTGGTTAAGAAAAAAAGCGCTGAGCTAGACGTTGCTGAATAAATGCGAAGGTGGCTCATCCTATTTTGATTCTTTTCCTCAGACATAGACTCATCTTTGGCACCTTTCTCTTTCCTTTTAAGCTGGATGACAGCACTAAACTCAGATGGAAGCTTTGTTCCTGATGTTTGGACAATAAAATGATAATTTAAAGCAAAGGTGAAAGACTTCAGGTTACTGGTGAATCTCTTTGCCTCTAAGGGCTTTTATCCACATTACAATTTTTAATTTAAGGGGATGTTCTTGGAAGTCTGCTGGGGTTAAAAAAATTCACGATAGGGAAGTTTGGTGCTTGCAGTCTGAAATCTTTCCCACATGCAAACGAAGAAAATGTGGGAACCAGATCTTAGAAGCATTTAGAGATGGTAGGCTAAAAAGTGTTTATGCATAGGAGTATCTGAATTAAAATATAATAAAGGCAGGACCAAGGTGCCTTTTTAAGTATTCTGTCCAAAAGTATTTTTCCCCTATATAAGTAGCTTGTATGCAGTATTTAGGACGTCCACCAGAAATAGTATAATGGTGATATTTTTCTCATATTCCTAACTAAAAAAGGCAGTTAGAAATGTTAGATTGCAGTCCACATTGAATATGGAAACCAAGTCTAAGTAAAAATGATTGAAGACCATGTTCTAAAAAGCTTCTAGCAGATTCCCTTGCTGACTTGGGCCTTATACACTTCAGATTTGACTAAAAATAGAAGGCAAACCTTGTAAGCATAAAGAACTGGGTTCCCATGGTTCTGTTGACAGTTTCCTCTCAGTATGACTATCATGTCTCAGTTTCCATCTCCATTAATTAATTTATCTGAGTTGATTTTTCTTCTCACAAGGAACAGTCTAATAGCCAGTTTTGCTTCGTAGTCAAGAACTGAATGATTATTATGTTCAAATGCCAAAAAAACTGGCAATATTTCATATGCACCTTCACTCTGAATAAGTGGCATTTTAGATCCTACCTTATACCTCTTTAGAGAAAAGATTAGACTTGGGATCCAGAGATATGTCTGTGCCTCACCTGTACCTTTGTCAGGATTTAGCAAGCCATTTCTCTTCCCCTGAGTTATCCAGGAAGACAAGGGGAGTAATAAGTATAAGTCCAAGGAAGAAATTAATACTTCGCATTTTTATATCCACTGTTTAAAACAGTTTCTCCAGTCTGGTATATGTTAATACACAATTTTCAGCAATGTCTAGTGATGCCTATCTCCAGGCTAGTCAATCCTTTCTTGTTTTGTCCCTTTGCTACCAATTTATTCTACCAAGAACTTGAATTTTTGTCATGATTTATATGCATGCTCTCCATTTGCTGATTTGGTCATTCTGAACTTAAGCTGAACTTTCCTTTTCTTTCTTTTTTGTGATGAAGTGTGTGTTGCTACTTTGTACAAGAACTGAAAGAACCTATATGCATCATTTTATGCCTGCTTGATTCAGCAAAATGAGAAACTAAAAACTATTTGATTACATGACATCCCTCTTTTTACTGTTTTAGAAGATTGTCATTTTGAATGTACGGTAAATATAATGCACTTCCGGCATTTTACTGTTTGCTTGTTTTAACTATATGGAATACTACTGTGTTTTTTAAAGAAAGAAAATGAATAAAGCCCATAGCAGGTTGTAGTTTGATGTGCATGCACACTCATATGTACATTGAACACTTGCATGTTTTTGCATTTGCCACGTTTATGTATTGTGTTGGGTTATTGTTCTAGACTGGACTGTTAAATACAGTGTTTGAGCCTGGGTTGTCATTTTTATATCTGTCTTGGTGTTTTATTGCCATTATTTATTACTTTTGATATACAGAATGAGCTGCATGCATTTATAGAGCAATAAGAGGATGTATTTAATGTGCCTTGTTTTTAACTGAATAAGAACTGAAAGCGTGAATCAATAAAACTGATTAAAATGGTCCACTCCCTGGCATTTTGATGTTACCAGCAGTTACAGAAATAAAGTTGATTAGCCCTGGATTATTTCACCCCTCCTTTTTCTATGGTAAAAAAAGTTTTAAAAACAAGATTCAGAAATGTAAATTTTAAAGGATGATACAAATGTCTGGCCTTAACTCTAATCTTGTAGGGTGAATTAGGAGAGAAAATATAGGGAACCTTGTCTTGCAGATTTAACATTGGATGTTGTTGAAATATTATTTCATTGCCACCGTGTGTTTTATTTTTTGTTTTGTTCACTGTAGGGGAAATAAACAGCCAACCAGTTGTTACCAGAATGGATTCTTTTTCATTTATTTTTTAGTCAACCAAACCTCTTCAGGCGAAATGTTCCCAGCCCACACTGATGAATTTTATCATGACTAAAATCAATAGGAATAAATGGAAAAGATTACATAATCCGTTTTGATCATCTTACATGTCAGGTTAGTCCAGAGTTGCCAAGTGCTGATAAATGTACTGACAGGAAGAAAACGCTATCTATTTTCATTGTCAGTAAACCTGCAGATCTTTTAAAAGTTTTTAACCCAAATTTATATTCTTTTATAGTGCCAAATTTACATCTGTGATTTTTTTGTTGATGTTGGAGTAGAGACTTTGCAATGTCTGTGTACATATTTTTATAGTGCTAGTGTTGTGTTAGTGGTGGCCAGAACATTATGGAATTGATGCATCTTAAGAACATGCTTATAGAATCCTTATTATGTGGGGCAGCATGCCAGCAAACATGTGCCTTTATCAAAGATGTATCAGAATCCTCTCTTGCCGTACCTACTTGTGCATATTTTAGATACCCTTTCCTACCTACTTGTGCATATTTTAGATACCCTGAAATGTATGTGTATGTTTGAGGAGGGGCAGGGGGGCTCTCTCCAAGATATAAGTCTCAAAACATATGGGAATAAGACGCGTCAGCTTTACCAACAAGCTTTGGAAATATCACAGCAATGTTAGCATTTCAGCAGCAGTGCGTAGAGTGAATTCCCACATCGAATCTGAACTGATTGCATTTGATTGGAGGAAATTATAAAAGAGAGAAACATCTCCAGTGATGTGCATTTGCCACTAAACGAGTTCTGTGTCTCTCCCACTGAAAATGAAGGGCCTCTCAAGCTTACCCATCCCCCTACTCTTTTAGTCTCATTCTTCCCCACCCCCCAATTAACCACTGGAGGCATGAAACGTATACAGAGCCACAAGAGCATTCATGCTGTACAATATTTGCACAGGTGCTATGATCAGAAGGCAGTAGGCTTCCATCCAGAATCAATATTTCACTCAATCTGTGAGAGACGCAACTAATTTAGGAGAAATCCAGGCCGTGTCTCCCTGCAAGTGTCTCTGCTTTCCATGAACTGTCAGTGGTTACTGACTAATTTTTTAATAAGTGGTGCTAAAGGGTTCTTTGCCACCTTTAACTTTTCTAGATATGCATTAGGTTATTGAAGTGGATTTGGACAGAAATGCGGAGAGAATCTTTTTTCTGCAGTATGAAGTTGTATTTTGATTTGTGTAGCTCCACTTGAATTTTGCATCCTAATCCATTCCAAGCTTTCACTGGATACAAAGTCAAACATGTCCTCTCTGTCCCTTAAAAGTTTTAAAGTGGGATTCTTAGAATTATCTCTTATTGAACAGCTGTAACATTGAAAGAACATCTGTTCTTTGCATGATGTGTATAACATGCTTTGCATGGTATACTTCCTTGGCTATCATGCACCGATAAAATTATGTGCTGCTATCTGGCTAAAATATTATGGAAAGCACTGGGCTTTGTTTCATGGAGTGGAAAGGCCTGTCTTCCTCTGACTACTTCTCCTCTGTCATCTGTACAAGACATATTTGATCCTGTCTTACCAAGGTATCCTAAACTGTCTGTCTAAGGGTTGCAAATGTAATTAACTCTTAACATAGAAATGGACACAATCTAAAGTCCACTGAATCGAAATAAATTGTTTTGAAGTGCCTTTACTTTATTGTTTTAAAAGGAAAGATTCCCTGTATTTCTCCTACTCAGTTATCCTTGAACATAAATGCAGAATTGCTCCCCAGTATCGGTACAGTTGAATTTATTTTACTGAACAGCTGATTTTAGTTTTGCATCTCTACAATTAACTGATTTGCAATTCATTTTTATGCATGCTGAGTTTTTCCTGTCCGAGTCGAGAAGCTGTAAATCTTTGATCTATTGAACTGACAGGGAGTTATATTTCATTTTTCCTCATGAATCATTTGCTACCCTTATTTCAGAAAAATGGCAAAAATTATGGTGTACCATGTTTTAATAAATTACTGCTTTTTAAAGAATTTGTTCTGTGACCTGCTTGGGGAA